GGGATCATTTTATTATTCTATTTAAATTTTGTAAATCAAACTTATAAGCATTTTTCTTTGAAAGTGTACTTCTTACTATCAGATTTGCATTATTTTAGTAGGTATAAATATCGATTTATTATTTAATTTCAATTTATATATATAATTCAAGCTTTCAAATTTTTACATTTAATAGTGCCTTTTGGGTCATTTAATCTGCATTGACTTAGTAGATGTAAATTTAATTGTCATGGTTAATGCTGGAAACAACTGATACTAGAAATTGAGATTCCATTTAACAATATAACTCTAATTAAACTATTTCTACTAATATACTTATAGTCTTCAGCATCAGAAATGTTCAGCACTAATTGTGAACTACTGTACAGCATGAACTAAAATACCCAGAGTACTTTACAATTTAAGTTATATATAGGTATTATAGTCGGAAAGATACTATTGAACAGGAGGAACCATCGATGTTACATGACTAATCCTTCATCCAGTATGCAACATATAAAAGAATTATTTTACAATATTAGACCATTCCATTAGTACATAATGAACCGGTATTGGATTATAATCAATAACATATACTAGCAGAATGATCTGGTATTGTAAAATAATTTTTTTATATGCTGCACACTGGGTGAAGAATCAGTCATGTGACATCAACGGTTCCTCCTATTATACTATAGTCAGCATATAGGATATAAGTTACGCTATTTGAATATCGCAATAATATATTTTATATATTCTAAGTGCAATTCATCTATATTTAGTACCCTGATATTTACATTTCTAAGTGCAATTAATCTGTCCTTAGTATCCAGGATACTTTACATTTTAGGCTTCAAAAAACTGGAAGGGGTATTATAAAAGAGGTATTTAGTCCATGCTGAACAGTAATTATTTTATAGAAATTTAAAATTATTAAACATATAAATGCTACTTTTAAATAGTGCATTCAAGACTTTTTAATCCATTTTGTTTGGTGAATATAAAAGCCATTTCAATTATTTCATATAAAATTATAATTTGGGTTAACATTTTTAATAAATAGTTCTTTTGATATCATTTAATTCAATCGAATTTGTGGGTATATGAATTGTATTCATATGTCGATAATAATAGTTGAAGAATTGAATTGTAAGATATAAAAACAGTAATATTTTTCTTAAATCCTTGGCTGTTTGAACACATTTAAATATTTATTGTTGGATAAAAAGATCCAAGAAAATGTATAACTGGAAAATTTTAAATGAATTAAGCTTTAATTTTTTCTATTTAAAAAAATTTTTAAAAGAAAAATAAATACTATATCATTTACTTAGGGGTGTATTAGATATACAGTTGGCTAAATAATATTTCCATCTAATTTATTAAATAAAAATTCAATTGAATGTAATTCATATATAATTTTATAATTTTATTTTATAATCGTTATAGTAAATGTTTAGTACATATAGTAAATATCTATTATTGTGAAAATTTTGAATTACAGATTTGACATTCCTCACCTTAATACCAAAAAAAAAAAAAAACAGATTTGACATTTATAATTAGTTGTAGTTTTACATTACAAGTTTAATATGAGAACTTAAAAATTGTAAAAAATTACATAATGTATCTTTTTATTTGTAATATCAACTATTTAATTAACCAACTAACCAACTAACCAACTAAACAACTAAACAACCAACCAACTAATCGATTAAACTAGTCACGTGATACCATAATCGATTAGTTGCAACTATAGTTGACAACTAATCGATTGGTGAAATTTTTACCAACTTGGAACACTACCCGTGGCGGAAATTCTCTTACCACCCGAGTGACCCGGGTTTGGAATTTTGTGACGGGTCGGAACACTACTCGTGGGTGTTATTCTGAGACATTTAATTCAAAGAGAGCTAATAATTAATTTAACTAAACGCGTATTAGCTCTTTTTAAATTATGCGTCTTAAAATAACACTCATGACCGTTATTTCACTCTAATAGTTAAATAACATTACTGTAAATTAGGTTATTAACAGTGTAGTCAATTCCTTGTTCTATTGGCAAAAATTATATTCTATTCTAATTTCTATTACTCTATTCTATTGTTCTAGAGATATATTTATTTATTGCTATATTAATATCTAATTATAATCTTGGCAATTTTTTGTTCTGTCGACAAAAATTTTATTCTATTCTAAATTCTATTGCTCTATTCTATTATTTTATTGTTCTATTCATCTATTGCTGCCAACACTGGTTATTAATGATGTATTTTTAAAAACATTTGCCAAAAGTTACATTTATAATCGGTAAGGATGTTGGAAAAGCCTAAACCAGGTTAGAAGCTATAAGAAATAGTTACATTAATTATTTTACAGCTTTACATTATTTGAATCGGCCTAGATGAAACATAATTTTTACCGTCAGAAAATGACGGGTTACATATTATATTTTATTTTTTTTTTTAAAAAAAAATAGGTGACTGAATGTACAGTATAAATATGATCAACCGAAAATAATGCAACATTTTATATCGCGTTAAACTTTTGAGAAGTCCATGGATTTATTCATTAAGAATTAGTATGCGGATTAAGGCTAGTTGTTGGTATTATTCGTTTAAGTTGTCGTGCATAAACAGATGAAACTCTAGCGATAAGTACCTGCGAAAAAAATTGCATTGAAATTATTAATATGTTCCGGATTCTATCATTTTCCCGACAAGTTATCCCACATTAGGTTAGGTTAGTGTTAGTTCCGGTAAACTTTCGTCGGGAAAGCTCCAACTTGAAAACAAACACTTACACTAAATAGTATTAATAGTATTTCTACAACGACGTTTCGTATAATAATCATGGTCTTGTAATGTGTACAAAATGTCATATCACTTTCTAGTGACGTACTTAAATCTTCGATACAGTTATCAATCTCATGCTGTCTATTCTGAATTATATTAGCAATGACAACTATAGCAATAACTATATTGACTATGACAAAACCCCATAACATGTTAGAAAAAACACGAACAGCAATTGAAATTTCCTGTTTAAATAAATTATTAATTAGTATATATTATATACGAAAAATTGGATACACAAAATTAAATCTTTAAAAAAATTCATGCTAACAAAAAATGAACCAATGATTCCAAATAAGTAGACTAATGCCATTATAATGAATGCTATACCAAATATTAAAGTAAGTCCCCTTGACATATCAGGTACATAATCTAATACATAACGATATTGTATACATACAATATTAAAATTACGCGCAATATTTAATCATGTTACAAAAATCGCACGTACCTTCCGGTTTTGCTAAATAAATGGCTGCAAACCATGAGAAAATAAACTATATCGATATAAAATAGCATGCATATACAAAGATTCAATGGAGTCAATTAATAATCTTCTTAAATTACTATATAGAAAAATACTTACAAGACTGACTGCTGCAAGTGTAATTGTATCGTAGCGAGACGAAACACGTGGAATCCTAAGCATAGTGTAGAAAGCTTGTAATATTATTCATATGGGATATGTGGAAAATATGAAAATCATATAAAAACGCTTACAACCCGCACAAAACTCCAACCATTTTTTTTAAAAAAATCGTAACCTAGCGCTAGTACTTTACAAAATTTCAAATTTACGAAAGAATTTGTGGCTTGACAATTGTCCAACTTGTGATTTCAATAATACATTTTGAAAAAGGATTGGCTTTGCTAAAGCAGTAAATATTTTGGATCATATTTAGTATGGCTGGGTGAACTTTAATATAGATAGGTATGAAGATTAATCCTTTATATGTGCATGTGATAACCAAGACCTGCTCACCTATACTAGTTTTTCATTACGGCAAATAATCATCGTAACAAAATTTTTTATAATCTGTAAAAAAAAAAAAAAAAACTACTGATACTACTTTCGACTCTCATTTGATAAAAAAAAGGCCGTTGAGCCATAGGCATTTAATTTCTTGGTTTTCACATGAAACTTTTAAATAGACTCGGCTGGGCAGTTTTTTTTTAAGATTTTTTTTAAAATCCACCTGGTTATTAATTTTGGCCAGTCAGATTATAGATCAATTATCGTATTTTCGCGTAATAACCCTATGGGCGTTATTTAGAAAATCACGCTTCTTGGAAATAACATGCGTGGTTTCAAGTAACGCCAGCTAAATCACCTTAAAAAAAAGATTTTTAGAAATAAACTATCAATTAGCATGAGCATTATTTTGAAGAACAGGTTTAAGAAAAATTCTATCTTTGTCTCAAAGCGCGTACTCTAAATAATGTGCGTATACTCAAGATAATGTGCAGATGGACACTATTATATGAAAGCATGTAATATAAAGTTTAAATATTAGAAGTATTAAATATAGTGATACAATTGAAATTGAAAGTAATCAATTAGTTGGTTTGTTGACAACTAATCGAGATTGGTGTATAATTCTGATTTATTATTGTCAATTCTTTGAGCATAGGCATCTTTTCTTGTATGTATGCATTTTAAAAGTATGCTAAGTTTTTTGCTTTCTCGAATCTTATTTCATTCTAGTTCTTAATTCTTTTTCATAGTAAAACCCAGCAGTGTTTCCTTGTTTCATTTTCTGATTGTAATTTTTTAATTGACGTCAAGTAACAGAAAAAGAAAGAATTGAAACAAATAAACAATTAAAAGCATCAGGCAACAAAACAGGAGCAAAACTGCCAAAACTACAAAGGCATTGGTCACATACCTGGATAGAAGACATGAAAGATTGGCAGAAGATCTTACAAGAAAAGAAGAAAAAGGATTAGAAACAAATGCAAAGAAGGCAAATAAAAGAAAATATAGATAAGAGATATAAAATGATCAAAACAGACCAAAAAAAAATGCTTGCTAGTTTTCTAAATAAGTTATACAAAAAGATAATGCTTAATAGGCTTATTAAGTAAATAGAAAAAAAGACATATCTAATAACAAGGTCAGAAAAGGTTAAGACAAATATAACAAAACATTATAAATCACAGTTTAGGAAAAGAAACACCAAACTAAAAACAATAAAAGAAAAGTAGAAAAAGATATACAAACTAAAAAAAAGTATTAGAAAGAAATAGTATACAGAACTTGAAAAAAAAATTAAGAAAAAAGAATGAGAAGAGACACTAAGAGAATTAAAGACAGGAACAGTTTCAGGTATCTCAAATATAAGTTATATACTGATCAAAAGAGTAGAAACAAAAATGCAAGAAATCTTTAGAAGTCTTGCAGACTTATGCTTAAAAATAGAAGAAATTTCAATAAAGTGGAAAATAATACAAGTTTACCTAATACCAAAAGATATAGAATAGAGATATAGTTTAAACAACATTTATTCAATAACACTAATTGAAGCATTTAGAAAAGTTGTAACAAAGGTAGTAATGAAAAGGCTTGTCAAAGTATTTATAAAAAGAGAAATACTTGAAGGACCAAACTTTGCAGGTCTTCTAGAAAACTTAATAGAATAACCAGTACAGATTCTAAACATGATAATAGAAAAAATAAGAAAAAAAGATAAAGAAATATAAATACTGTTGCAAGATATAAAAAAGGCATTTGACTCAATTTCTCTTAAAAGTCTTGAAATAACATTGCAAAGAATTAAAATACTCAAAAGAACAATTAAATATATATTGAAGCTATTCACAAAAAACAATTAAGAATAATTACAGCCTATAGTCTAACAGAAGAACTAATAGCAGAAAATGAAATAGATCAAGATAAGGTAATATTATCATTAATATAGTGTCTCTTTTATGATTTATTACTAGAAAAAATCTAAGAAAATGAAAGATTAGGGTATTATTATCTTATATCTATTTCTTTTAAGATAGTAGGTAACTAGAGCAACCTTAGACAGTGAATACTTTTTGTAACCTCACTTGTTACTGTGTTATAACTAAGTTGGAAGGCGTTTTATTTTAGAAAACTTAACAAAGAAG